GGAGTGGGTCAGATGCCCACAGACAAGACCTACAGAAACAATGGATCCCCCAGTGTTCCCTCTAAGAAGAACTCCCCAAATCTGCTCTCTGAAAGGAAACTCATGGCTGTATAACGATTGAAAAGGGGATCTTCCACAGGACCCAAATAGTTGTCTATCTGATCTGCTACTCACCCTGTTTTCCTGCGTTGGGCAGTGAAATCTCTGGCAAAGTTGAGGGCATGTTCTCCACCCTCAAACTGCTCCTCCACCATTGTGGAACCCATAGCATTCTCTGATATGTATGTATTCTGGGTCAGTGGTGAAAAGGCCAGGCCCAGGAACCAAAACACACCAGCCAAATAGCTCACCACACTGGGAAAGAAACAGGTTAGGGGACACTGAGACCCTGGCAACCAGCTGCCACACAGCTCACCACGATGAATGACATAACTGCCAATCCTTTCTCCAAGGTTTCTTTCTCACCATTCACCTTGTAAGTGCCAAATCCAAGGAGTTCATCCTTCTAAAACCCAGGGTAGCAGGGGTGGAGGGGAGAGGAAGGAAAGCAAGTATAACCTCTGACTCTTAGGACTCAGGCCCCCACCTAATACATAATAGCTTTCTGGAGGGGGGTCACTCTTTCCTGCCTCCACTCCCCCTCCAACTCCCAGGGACTGAGAAATCTGGGTGTGGGAGGCAGGGAAAGAAATGGGAGACCACAGCTGATGATACTTCTTTTGGGTCAGCATCTCTTACATGCACACATACATGGCACGTTGTGTGTATGTCTAACCCCAGGTAAAGGGAGGCAGGGAGGAATGAGAATGGGATACTGGACATGACCAAGGATGATTAAGGAGCCAGAAAGAAGGGAGCCATCAGATGGCTGAGGGTTGAGCAGGGTAGGACCCCTCACCAGAGTGGAGTGTTTAGGCGCAGGAGCAACCGTGCCAACGCCCGACGCCTGTGTGAATCCAACAGGAGCCCCATAGCTAGGGGATGAAGGGAACCTGGGCAAGGGAATCAGATGAGTGTAATCAGCATTTCCCACCACCAGCCACTCTGAGATTCCTTGACTCCCTCACTCATCACCATCTCTTCCACCTCCAACAGAGACCTCCTTCTACCCCCAACCCAATGCAATAACCTGCCCAACATTTCCTACTAATCCTCCTCCATGACCCAGTCACTGAGTCACACACACAGTCAGACATAATCAGTCACATACACAATAAATGCCAGAGTTGGAAGTAGCTCAAGTCCATCCTTCTCATCTTACACATGAGGAAACTGAGGCTGAGAGAGGTGAAGGGATTCACCAAAGACCACACAACTATTAAGTGGCACAGCCAGAACTTGAACTCAGGTCTTCTAATTCCAAGTTCAGGGCCCTTTCCACAATACCATGCACCCTCTGCCACAGACAAGTATAGAGTCAGATAGATACAATTCCACACCCCCATACATGTAGCATCTTCCCTTTCAAGATTTATGGGCACACACAGTCTCACATGCACACTCACACAAAGTCCCTGACCCACAGGCACATAGTCACCTAGACACATAGTCATACAGAGTGTCATACCCAGATAGCATCCTCTCCTTCAAGATCTGCCAGCACATGAAATCACACACATACATACAATCATACACAGTATCACACCTCCCATTTTCTCTTACAATATCTGCAGGAACACACAACCACATGCCCATATACAAAATCTCACACATGAAGCATCCTCCCCTCCAAGATCAGCCTGCATATGCAATCACATATATGATCACACACAATCTCACACCCACAGTATGGTCTCCTGCAGGATCTGGGGGAACCGAACGTAGGAGCACGCGCAGGTGTGTGTGAGCGCGCACGTGTGCGCGCACCCATACACGAAATCTCAAACCGAGAACATTCTCTCCTGCAGTAACTGCGGAACCAGAGCATGCGCAGGTGTATCCGACACACACAAACACACAATCTCACACCCAGAGCATCCTTTCTTGCAAGCTCTGCAGAACGCAACTATATAAGCATGCGCAGGCGTGGGGCTGACAGATACAAACAGACACACACACCACACAATCTCACACCCAAAGCATCCTCTCCTGCAAGATTTGCGGGAACAAGAACATGTGAGCATGCGCAGGTGAGACAGAGAAACAGACGAACAGAAGGAGAGACTGAATCTCAGACCTAGAGCATCCTCTTCAAGATATGAGGGAACGCGAGCATGTGAGCATGCGCAGGTGTGCGCCCGAGAGACAGACAGACAGACACACACCCACACCTCACTCTCACACACGGAGCATCCTCCCGGCCCAGATCCGCCTGCACACGCAATCACACCCACGATCACACACAATCTCGCACCCACAGCATCTCCTGCAGGAGCCTCGGGCACACAGTCACCTCCTCATGAAGATTTCCTCATACACACCATTTGACACACAGAGACCTCCCCTCCGGGTGCGCACCATACGCACACACACACGCGCGCACACACACACAAAATGAATGAAGGACATGGGACGATAGACGCACCCACACCACCCCCAGCCCAGCTCACAGCCGCCTTTGCTTCTCACGCACCAGCCTCGGGGCACGCCCACTTCCGCCCAGTACTCCCTCACTTCCGGGACGCGGGCGGAGCACTTTGGGAGTTGTAGTCTTGTGGCTTAGGCGCCTCTGCTAGGCTTTCTGAAGGAGGACGCGGGGAGGCGCCCGTTCCCTTTCTTCTCCGCGCTCCGGTCCTCCTTCTTCTTGCCTCCTGCCTAGCCATGAAATCTTTCTATCCTCATTCCCTTCTCTTCACTACCTCCAGTCCATCCTTCACCCCGTTGCCTGAGTAATCTCTCTATGGGCACTCTGTTGCCTCTTTTATCCACAGGTATTTAAAACCCTTCACAACATCGCTCTGACCTGTTTTTCCAGGCTTATTGCACATTACTTTGCTTCACACACACTCCCCATTGGCCAAGTTGGCCTACTAGCTGTTCCTAAACCTTATAACGTGGCATATTCCACTCCCACGCATTTGCATGGCCCATCCTTGCAATTTATTCCTTCATTATTACCACCCCTCAGACCCTTATATCCCGCCTATCTTTAAACCCTATTCTACCGTCCTCCTCCTCAAATCACCAAGTATCTGTATTCATGTTGTAACCCTACTCCTCTCCCCCACCTCAAGTGGCACTGTAAGGTCATAGAGGGCAAAGACTGTTTCCTTTTTGTATTCCCCGCGTCCAGCAACAACATAATGTGGGTTTAACTAACATGTCATTCATTGTTGTCCTTATTCACTGTTGTATTTATGTTATTCCTCTACTTAAAACTCTTCCTTAGCTCCCTACAACCCATCAATTAAAGTGTACACTTCTTAGCCTGGCATCCAAATTCCTTCAAAATGTGGGTCCAACATAGGTTTCCTACTTTTCTCACCCTAATCACTCCATTTCAGCCAATTGATATAGCTGTTCCTGGATCTTGTACAAGCAACTCATCTTAATGCATTTACTCCTGTCCCCCATGACTGGAATGGACCCCCCCTCACCCCCAGCTCTGTCTATCTATCAGAATCTCTTCCCTCTAAGTCCAGGTCAGGCATCATCTCCTTCCGGAGCTTTGCACACAGTAGGCACTCCCAGAGCACTTTGCTTGGACCTCTTCTCTGCACTTATCCCCTTCTCCCACAGATCAGTTACTTACATACATCTCCCTCCTCCCCTACTACATGGTCAGCTCTTTGAGAAGCTGGTGTTGTCATTTTTCACCTCTCTATCTCTCCCAGTGTCTACCACAGCTTCACACACAGTACACACTCAGATGTTTGTTGGAATCTCTCCCTTTCTCCAAGGCACAACTTGGATGTCATTTCTTTCGTAAAGTTTCCACTCATCTCTTTCTCTTCAAGCTTTTTTTCTTGGAGGTGATTGATGACTGTCTCTGTGGCATTGCTGCTATATGCTATCTTTCCCTGTCACGAATCATGTGATCTCTCCTGAAGATAGTGCACGGTGTTACCTAGTTAGTGATTAAATCGGAAGATATAACTAAAAGCTGCTTTAATCAAAAGGTTTAATGATTGGTCTAGGATTCCATGGTGACCTTGGCTAGAATTGCAACCTAGATAAATGGACTTTGTCTGGAATGCTTGACCAGGTTAATCAATCCCAGATCAGCAGGGACATGTTCCAAGAAGAAGGATACCATTATCTATTCAGGTAAGGCAGAACAAAGATGCTCTAGGACCACAGCAGGAATTAATACAGGTCAAATAAAAATGAAGAAATGTTAACTGATTAGGATAGTTTAGGAACCTTTAAAGCCACTCACTCTCACTACCAGGTAAAATTATTTTAGCTATTCACTGATCATGTGCACCTTATTTTCAGAGCCAGACCAAGGGCAGATAAGTAGAACTTTTGCTCAGATGCTGAAATTTAGAGGGGGACTACTACTTCCCAAACTTGGTAACAGATAATTTAGCTACTAGCACCACATATTTTTTACCAATTTATTATTCAGCTGTTTTTTAAAAAATAATTTTTATTTTTTTATGAATCTAAACACCAAAAAAGCATTCCCATATACACAGTATAACATGAAATAAGTATTAAATATGAAAATACTAATATCCATTTCATCCAGCTTGCCTTGAAAAAATAAAGGGCATACAATAAATTTCACAATATTTTCAAAACTGTCCTCTTGTCCATGCTTCCTTTTGTTCCCTTCTGTGTATTTAAAAAAAAAAGTTTCAATGGCTCTTTTAATTTGGCATCACTATTGCTAATCTTTAACTCCATCCTACAAATGAAAACCATTATTATTACTCCTTGTAATAAGTATGGCCAAGCAAAACGAACCCACATTGTGGCCATGTCCAAAAACACATGTCTCTTTTTTGTACCTTGTGTCCATCACATCTCTGTCAGAGGGCAGATCATGTTTCATCATAGGTCCTCTAGAGTCATGGTTGGTCATGGTATTGATCAGAATTCTTAAGTCTTTCAAATTTTTTTTTCTTTACAGTTGCTTTTTTTTTAAAAATAAATTTATGTTTGTTTTTTTTTTTCCACTTCCCTCCACATCAGTTTCATACTACCCAGGAACCTCTGAAATTTTCTCTTTTCATATTACACAGTACAATTGTATTCCATTACATTCAAATAAACTTTTTCACCTATGCCTCAACTGCCCCAGAGGCAATCTAAGGCACCCCCTTAAGAGTCTACTTCTTTGTCTTTTATTTCCCCTTTTAGTTTCCTTCCCCCCACCCTTTTCAAGAATTGGAAGTTTTTTTTGCTCACAGCTAGCTATTCCCTCCATGACTTTATCCTCCCTTTTAAGCATTTCTCCCTATCCTTATTTTTTTCCCTGTTGAGTTTGATATATTTGTACACCAAATATTGTATGTACAGGACATGTGTTCAATCCTGTTTTGTCTGCTTCAGATAAGTGAGGTTTATTTGATGCTTGCTCCTCCTTCCCTCCTTCTCTTTGTATATTCTTTCTTCTCATTCACCCCAATTAGGAGAAATAACAAATTCCACTCCCTTATTCCTCCTTTCTCTATTAGTATATTCCTTTTTACCTTTCTTTTTCTTTCCCCTTTGTAAACTCACAGAACAGAACCAATCCACCCCTCAGGATTTTTTTTCCCTTAAATCCCCTCAAAATCCTTTAAAGACATAAAGGTTCTGAAGGGGCTCTTGTTTCTTCTTTATTAGAATGTTAGCACTACATCATCAAACAGCCTCTTCCAATTGCTCACATAAATTTACCTTCCTAGGTTTTCTTGGACTTTTGTATTTCAGAATTCCTTCTCAGCTCTGGGGTTTTTCTCAAAGATTCTTGAAAGTACTCTATTTCATCAGTGGTCCACTTCCCATTCCCCTCCCCACTCCCTTCACCCCCTATGATTATGCTCAGTTTTGCAGAGCAAATTATCCTTGGTTTTAAGCTCCTATCTTTTGCTTTCTGGAGTATCATCTTCCAAGATCTCCTCTCATTTTCAGTAAAAAGTTGCCAGATCTTGTGTGATCCTGACTGTGGTTCCTTGTTACTTGAACTCTTTTTTCACGGATGCTTGCTATATTTTTCCTTTGATGTAAAAGCTCTAGATTTTGGTTATGATATTCCTGGGACTTTTCCTTTTGGGATTCCTTTCTGGAGGTGATCAGTGGAATCTTTCTATCTTCATTTTACCCTCTTCTTCTAACAGATCTGGGCATTTTTCATTTAAGATTTCTTGAAATATAGTGGGGATTTTAAAAAAAAATCATGGTTTTCAGGGAATCCAATGATTCTTCATGCATCTCTCCTTGACCTTTTCCCCATGTGTCAGTTGTTTTTGATAGATCTTATATTTCCTTTTATTCTTTCAATCTTTTGATTTTGTTCTATTATTTGTTGCTGTCATATGGAATCATTGTTTTATTTGTTCTGTTCTAGTTTTCTGGAATGCCATTATTTAGGTAAAGTTCACCACTTTTTCTTCTAAGCTATTCATTCTTCTAATTTTTTTTCTCCAGAGCTTTTAATTTTTTATCTCTTTTATGTATCTATATAATCTTTGTGGGATATATATTTTCATTTACATCCTTCTTGCCCTGGTTATGAAGTTACTTGTTCCTTTTTGGGATCCCATGATCTATAATTTTTTGTATTGATGGTGTTTTCTTTGATTTACTTGTCTCTCCAGCTTTAGTTCTTGAATTGAAGCTCTGTGCCAGGGATGGGTTCTGCCTCATGCTATGAGGTGGAATGGTTTGCCTTGTGGTGTTGGGTTCATTTTAGGTCTCCTGGGTTCCTCCACTGAACTCCACCTTCTGTGGCTGGGCCCTCCTTGGATCTTCGAATTTCAGAGTAATGGGTCTTCAGGGTCCTACGTGATTATCTCAGGACAAGAATGCTACAGGCTCAGAGCCTTTGGAGGCCTGTGCTGTCCTGCTCTGAGCACTGCTGTGCTGCTGTAGTCACTATCACTCCCTGGGCCTTTCTTGGGAAAGGGGAAAGAGATGAAGGGGAACTTTGTTCTTCCTACCTTTGGGCAGAGAGCATTATATCTCTCACTGTCTCTGGGAGAGTGGAAGGCTATACTAAGCTGGGGCTTTTGTGCACCTGTGTGAGAGGGGGCTTTTCCTAGTGCCAACAGGCTTCTGTTTTTGTCTGTTTGTGTAGTTCTCGGGTGGGAAGTCACTTACAGCAGTTTTTCACTGGATTTCTTGATCATTATTCAGTCTTATGTGAATTTCAGGTTTTTGCTAGACTAGGTATGTGGGAAGTAAGTGGTTTGCCATTATTCAGGAAGCCCTCTTGGCTGAAAATCTCAAGTTTCTCAAAGGCCCTTGTATACATTTTTCCCTTATACTTCTCTTAGCACTTATATCATACTTATTTGTGTATGTGTCATATTCCCCCCTCCCCCCATTAGACCATAAGCTCTCTAAAGGTAGGGATTGCACTGATTTTCATCTTTATATGCCCTGTTCTGAGCATATAGTAAATACATTAATTAATACTTAACACCCATTTTCACTTGTTTCTCCCTCAGCGTCTACAGTGTTACTATATCTTTAAAGGCCAAAAGGAATATTGAGAAAAATCAGTTTGTGCTAGCAGATGGTAGATCTGTTGAAAAACATCTTTCTGTGAGGTGCTTCTCCTAACAGAGTCAGGAAATATATCTTATCTTTGCTCTATAAAGAAATCTGTGGAGAAGTCAAAGAGGAAGAATATGAAGAGAAATTTCTTTCTTGTTAGAATATTTTAAACTTTGTGTTCTAAAGAAACAGAGAACTCTGTAAAGAATCACGAAGAAGCAAGCAAACACAGTGTAGTCTAGAAAGATTACTGAATAGAAGGCAAAGAAAAAGGATGATTCTAGCTTATTTCCTGAGAGAATGAATGAATCTAGCTCTTATTTTGAAGAGAAATAGGAAGAAAATTCTTCCAGTATCTAGAGTGAACTGAATGTTGACACTATATTTCTGGAACTGAATGAGTCATTTACTTTTATATAGAGGGTTTGAGGTGATCCTGGCTATGAATCTTCCTAGAGCCGAAATACTGTAAATGTTTCTATTAGTTGTTGTTTTAGTTAAAGACTTATGTGAATTCAGTAATTTTAATACTTGTTCAGTATATAGAAAAATGAATAATTACTACTGGGAAAGAAGGTTTCTCCAGTTCAATGAGTAATTAACATTCAATGAACTGGGTAGGAACAAGAGCTAATTAATGAGATATACATTTTATGAATTAGTAAGAAATTATTCACTCATGCTCCTGGATTGCTTTAGCACTGGGTGTGATCAAATTAAATACAGCAACAAGTCAAGTGGTAGGCTAAGGGGTGACACTTTTTAAGCTTCATTGACCCCTATAAACCTTCCTACACTTATTAAATTGAAAGGCCATGCATATATCTCAAACATGGCTCTAATAAGCACTGCTACCCCTAGGGGGCTTCCCATGTGTGGAGCCTATCTGTCCTATTGGGTCTCAAACAACCATCCCTGAAGGGAGGAAGGACTGTTGACCCTGTGGAGGAAAGGATCTTGTGATGACAGAAATGCAGAGTGAAGGCAACGGAGCTATTGGCCTCATAGGGAACGACGGAAAGACTTTATTGCAGGGTCAGGGTCAGTCTCCGAGGAGCAGGGCAGCCTCTCGGACATGCTGCCTGACCACTCGGTCCAATAAGGCATGAACATCTCGGGCAGCCTGGGAAGCCACTTCTAGTACCTGCTGCAGGTGGTCTTCATGGAGCCGGGCATCCATCTCTAGCAGGGCAAGCTGGCCGGAAGCAGGGAGCAGGGCCAGAGCCACCTGCGGTCCACCTGCTGCCTCTTCCACGTGGCTCAGGTCAGCCAGGGCTGTGCCATCCACGAAGCCGGCCGAACAGGCACACACAAAATCTCTCATCGGGATCCCTGCGTCCAACACGGCTAATGTGGCTGCATTCACACAAGCTGCATAATTACCACCATCTGCCTGTAGCACCTAAGGTCACATGGCAAAAGATTTAGAAGTGGAAGGGTCTTTTTGATTTAACCCCTTCATTTTAAAAGGAAAGAAAATGAATCCCAGAGTACCTGATCCAAGGCATCGAAGGGAGCCTATCCCCTTGTCCATTGGAGTCACCCTCTATACATGTTCCCTGGACATATCCTGAATCCTTTCCTAACCCCCCGCCCCAGCTAACAGCGTCTTCCCTCCAAAATCACCTATATTTATTTTGTTTGTACCTATCTGTGGAAACATTTACCCCAACAGAATGGAAGCTCCTTAAAGGCAGGGACTGTTTCATTTTTCTCTAATTTTCTAGCCCCTGGTACTGTACCTAACACATAACCTCTTAATAAATGCTTGCTGATTCAATGACTTATTGATCCCACACCTTCCTTTCCACCCTCCCCACTTCCCACCCCTTCCCCAAATTGGCTCCAATCTATCCTCTCCATCTTATTTAGAAATCCTGTCTATCCTTCTAGGCTCAGTTTAGATGTCACTTCCTCCAGGAAGTTTTCCCTGATCCCCGCTTCATCTTGAACAGGATGTGAGTGCCACCATCTGAGACCCCGAAGGACACTTTTAACACAAACAACCCTGGTCACATCCCATCTCATACCATGGTTATCTGTGAGAATAATACTTCCAGACTCTATCCAGGGAGCCCCACCATAGCAAGGGCGATGTCTACTCCTCTGATGCTGCATCTATTCCTGATAAGAGTGTCTGGGCTCACTGATGGTATGCACAATGCAGTGAGGCTGTGGTATCCTCTCCAGTAGCTAGAGCCTCCTGGCAGTAGAGGAGAAAGAGCCCACTGAGCTTCATGGGGGCAGGGACCATGTCTAGCAAAGGGTTAGGAGACCCAGGGTCAAGTCGAGCTCTACCACTAAACTGCGTACGGGACCGTGGGCAAGCCATCGCCATCTCTGGACTCCCTTTCCTCTTCTGTCCCATGTCCTGGTTCTGATGCTCTGTTACGCTAACTACTTTCACAGGATTTACTTGTTTCATCCTCAAAGGAGCCCTGTGAAGGAGATGGGAGGACATTATCATCGCTATCTGACAGATAAGTAAACTGAGGCTTAAAAAAAGAGGGAACTTGTCCAAGGTTTGGAGAGTCAGAAGTGGAACTAGAAACCACAGAAGTGGAACTAGAAACCACGTCTGCTGACTCAGGGTTATCTCAAGAAGACTGAGGCCTTCCTAAATATCTACCTGATTTATACTACCCTGCCTTATTTAACCCAAAGGTCCACTACTTCCAACCTATTCTCCCAATATAAATCTGCACCTTTACCTGGACATAGATGTCGATTTGGGAGCGAGGGTAGAGCTGGGTCAGGATGGCGGCCTCGAAGGTCTGCCTCAGCTGGAGTCCCATTTCGCAGGCCTTTCGGTCCCCATGTGGCCGTCGTTTTCGTTCCCCAGTGCTGAAGGTGGCCATGCTATACTGGCAGTTAACCAGTGCTCGGTCTGGCAATGCTCTTGATCGAGAGCCCCGCATCTAGGAAAATAGGGGAGACATAGGAATGTATTACGTAGGAGCGGTGGGGGTCATCCCCCGCCCCCAGCCTGCCTTCTACCGAGTCCTGGAGAGTAGGTTCCTAGCCAGATGGGTGACAAAGTCAACACATTACAGTAGAAAAGTCCCAAGGAATAAGGAGACCCAGGTTTTAACAGAAAGCCTACTAACTTATGTGACTTTTAGCAAGTTCCTTAAGCTTTCTGGGAAGGATTCCTCATTTTTTTAAGTGAAGAGGTGAAGGGAAATAACCTTTAAGGTCCCTTCTAGGTCCAACATTCTGTATTCTTATGATACTCTAACTCCTGACACACTGGGATCATCCTAAAGTCTTTATTTCAACATTCAAGACTCCTCTACCCCATCAATGATCTTCTCCTTTCATTAATACCCATATTCACTTCAATACATGACCTGTCACCTCATAGATCCTGGGCTTATCAACACCCAGGGAATTCTCCTTGATTAACCTTATTCCTGCCCTTCATGGAATTAATTCCACAATTCTCATCCTCTAGTTGTTTTCCAAGGGAATGAGGAAGCACCAGAGATTCCTCATTACACCCTTCTACAATGGGTTCTCTTCCTCCTTTTCCCCTTCTGCTCCTGTTTACATAAAGGGGCTAGAATAGGGGCTGAGAAGATGGGCTAATCTAGGGCCATGAGTTCCATAGAATGATTCCCTCCAGGGAGGGAGAGCAGAGCTTGTCTTCTGAGGTCAAAAGGGTCTAAATTTGTCAGGGAGTGGGGGATAATTATTATATCTCTTATATTATCCCCCATTCCTATGGTGTGTGTAAACACATGAATGCACTCTTGTGCGCGCATGCGCGCGCGCGCGCGCACACACACACACACACACACACACACACACACACACACACACACACTTCCTGGGATGAAAGATAATCTTTGGGCCAGATTGTTCCTGTTTTCAGGTTACGGTAGCCTTGAGGAAGGAACTTCTGCCTAAATTCTGGGAGTCCAGAAGGGGAAGGCCAATATGTAAGCAGACACGTGGCAGGTATAGACACACAGGAGGTGTAGACTGGAGATGAGACCAGATGGTGAGAGTGAAGTTCAATCGACAGTTCTGATTTCATTCCCCCCGCTTTTTCCAGAGGACAGCGCTGGGAAATTTCCACCCGATTCCTCAAAGTGAAGAAGACCTGAGATCAAATACCATCTCCCACATATACTTGCTCTGGGACCTCTTGACTTCTTTGAAGACTCAGCTAATGCTTTACCTTCTACAAAAAACCTTTTTCCAATCTCCTTTAATGCTAGCGCCTTCCCTCTACAGACTAAATCTAATTTACATTTACATGTTGTTTGTACATAATTGTTTGCATGTTGTCTGGTCTTTTACCTTTCTTTGTATCCTTAATGCTTAGTATAGTCTCTGGCACATTGTAGGTGATTATATGAGAAAAACAGGAATTTAAGAATACCTTGAAAGACCAAGCAAAATTTTTGGTCAATTGTCTTCTAGGCAATTAAACCCTTCTAGAGGTTAATGTTTATTGGCTGACTGATTGACCAGGGCAAGACCCTTAAAGTCACCACACCCCAGAACAACTCTAATCAATTAGCAGTCATTTACCAGGCACTTAAGACTTGCCTGGGTTGACTTTAAGAGCTAGGCATATAAAGACAAAGAACAGAACAGCCCCTGCACTTATATTCTATGGGGAGGTAACAAGTGAATCTAAGCATATGCAGAATACAGTAGTGAGGGGGATCAGGAAAGGTTTCAAGGAAAAGATGCTGCTTGAGCCAAGTCTTGAAGGGAGTTGGACATTTTGGGGGTGGAGGTGGGAAGAGAGTCATTTAAGGCATGGGGGTCGCCTAGATCAAAAGCAGAGGGAAGGGAGATGGGGGCTGTGTGGGACAGCTAGGGGGCAAAGTGGAGTAGAGTGCCAGGCCTGGGGTCTGGAAGACTGGAGTTCAAATACAGGCTCAGACACTTCTTAGCTGTGTGACCCTGGGCATGTCACTTAACCCTGCTGGCCTCAGTTTCCTCATCAGTAAAAAGAGCTGTTCTCAGAAATGGCAAACCACTCCAGTGTCTCTGCCAAGAAAACCCCAAATGGAGTCATGAAGAGTCAGACACAACTAAACTACAACCATAAATAGTGCCTACTACGTGCCAGGGACAACACTAAGTGCTTTTTTACAAATATTACCTCATTTAATCCTTACGACAACCCTGGGAAGTAGGTATAGTATTATTGTGATCCCCAATTTACAGCTAAGGAAAATGAGGGTAACTTTCCCAGGGTCACACAGCTAGTGTCGGGTGTTCCTGAGTCCAGGTTCAGAACTCTATCCACTGTGTTACCTAGCTGCCTGAAACTTACTGAGTAGTCAGATTTGCCCTTAAGGAAAATCACTGGCAGCATGTACTGTAAGGAGCAGAGCAGGCTTAGATTTGCATTGATAACAGATTCCTTGCTGGGAGTCCCATATATCAAGGAAATCACAGGTTCAGCCCAATGGCATATATAACAATTATACAGCTCTCATTTCTATTGTGCTTGTCCTCATGGCTTCCAAGGGAGGTAAGTAGTATGAGTGATGAGGATGGGATCCAGACCCCCAAAAGGAAAAACCCTGGACTCTCCCACAGGGCCAAATCTCTAGCTAGTTTGAGGCTATAATCCCATGTCCCTGGGCCACTTCCCACCCTTAATCCTATCTAGGTTCCATTTTCCCTTGGCCACCCTTGGAGTTCTATCACCTCATAAACTACTTAGGGGCAGCTAGGTGGTGCAGTGGATAGAGTACTAGCCCTGGATTCAGGAGGATCTGAGTTCAAATCCTCAGAACATAACACTTACTAGCTGTGTGACCCTGGGCAAGTCACTTAACCTCACTGCCGAGCCAAAACAAACACAAAAAAAAAAAACCCCTAAAAAAAAAATAAACTACTTAGTTACTCCTTGATCCCTCCCATAGTCTTCCTGTATATAAGGTCCATCTTGTCTCCATTAAGATGCTTATATTCTTAAAATCTAGCCAATTTGATGAGTGAAACCTTACAGCTGTTTTAATTTGTTTTTTTTTATATTAATGACTGAGAGCTGGCTCAGATTCTTAAAATCTAGCCAATAGATCAGTAATGTTCAGATTTCTTAAGAATCTGCCCAATATGACTGATGTTCTAATAAACCTTGTCTTTGGCTGAAAGAAGGCTTGGATTGAAATCTTTCCAGCAGGATTTGTGTGTTGTGATTTTGGGGTTCCAGCACCTCTAAACCCCTAAACTGCAACATGAGGACTATTAAAAAAACTTTCTTTCTCAAAAGGGGAGACTTTCCAAAGCATAGATTTGACCATGTTAACTTTCTGCTCAATGTGCTTCAGTGGCCCTCCGGGATCAGTTAATAAGCACTAATTAAATGTTTACTATATGCCATCCACTTTGCATACACCTGGTCCCTCTCTGACCTCACAGTCTAATGGTGTACACAATGTGCAAACAACTATGTTCACACAAGATATACACAGTATATAAGGGAGGTAATTTCAGAGGAAAGGTGCTGGGTTGGGAGACAGGGAAAAGGAAAGGGATGCCTAGGGTGGGGGAACCTGTCCAAAGAGAATGTAGAACTTGAGCTGAATCTTGAAGGAACCCAGGATCTGATAGAAAGTTCTCCTTTTGGCATTTGAAGCCCTTTACAACTTGGCCCCTTCCTGCTTTTCTAGCCTTCTTACACGAGATTCCTCTCCGCTCACATTAGGATGCAGCTGCAAGGGTCTATTTTGCACTCGCCCCTCACCATTAGAGTGGTCTGTTCCCTACACCTCCAACTAACCTCCAACATTAGCTCCTTCCAGTTCCCTACTTCTACTCTAGTATCTAGGTTGCGGTTATTTACATGTTGTCCTGCCCATCAGAATGTAAGCCCCTTGAAGGTAGAATCTGTTATTTTTTGGCTTTTTGGTCTTGTTTTGTGTTTTGCCTTTCTTTGTATTCCTTGCACTTAGCATGGTGCCTAGAACACAATAAGCGCTTAATAAATGCCCGCAGGCTTTCTCTGGTCTCGGGAGCGTATTAGTGGGGCAGGGAGATAAGACCAATACAGTGCCAGCTCCCGGACACTCAGACCAGGGCGCAGCAGCCTAAGGTGAGTGTGGGTGAGGGGGTGGGGGTGGAGATCAGATTTAGAAATTACGTCATTATAAAATCCCGCAGCCTCAGTTCTCCATCCCACAGTTTTCTCCCCTAAAGCACCACACCTTCCTCCTGCTCCCGTTGCAACCTCCCGGCTTTCTCAAGGAAGGTTGCGATTGGTCCGGGACCCCATGAGGTCACGCCCCTTTCCCAATGAAGAGGGAGCTCCTTTTCAAGGAAGGCTGCGATTGGCCCGGGGCCCCGAGAGGTTACTGCCCTCTTCTCCCTCCCGACAAGCATTCTGAGGTCGCCTCGCACCTCGTGGGGTCCGTAGACCACGGCCAGCGCCTTAGTGTTGCCTTGTTCGATGTAGGCCGAACCATCGGCTTGCGCGAAGACGCCCATCCGTGCTTGGATCTTGCGCAGCTCTCCAGCCCGCCGCCCGTCCACGCGGTAACCCTGATCCGACAGCAGCTCCAGTCCCGCCATGCTTGTTGCAGCCTCTTCTAACCTACCCCGACTACACCTCCCGGCGGCCCTTACTACTTCCTGCTTCTATCTCTGCTTTCCGGCGGCCCTCACTTCCGGTTTTCGGCCCTTTCTGATACCGACGGGGCCACGGTGGAAGGCCATCAGAAGCCATCTAGTCCAACCCCTTCGTTTTACAGAGGAGAAGAGTGAAGCCCAAAGAAGCAGAAGGACTTGTTGGAGGCCACCCAGCTAAGTGGTGGCAAGGCTGGGATTGGAAATAACGTTCTCTCACTCCAGCTGCTGCGCCCCTTCCAGCCCAGACTACATTTCCTAGCGGCCCCTGCGCCGCAGCAGCTTCTAGCTTCCGGTCCCTGGGGCTCCGCCCACGGACCGTCTTCTAGGGGGCGCGGACTTCGAGTGCAGATTAGCTGCCCACGGTCCTGGCTTTAAAGACCATTGGCTCGAGGGCAGAGGATGGGGTTTGGTTTAAAATCCAGCCTCTTTGACTCTTGTAGTTATGTGACCTCGGACAAGTCGCTTTGTCTCTCTGATCCTCAGTTTCCTCACCTGTAAAATGAGGCAGTTGGTCTGGGTGCCCTCCACGGTCCCTTAAAACTCTCGATCTAGGATCATACGATAATTGACCGTCTGAAAAAATGAGAGGCCATTCTGACAATGCCTGCTTCTCCCCCCCCCCGCCCCCCCAATTGTATTGGGTCAGCCTTGAAGGACCATCTATAGAAATACTAGTTGATTTTATAATGTGGTATCCAGTTCAATCTGACAGCCTTACTTAAGTGCCTGCTCTGTCAGTCAGTCAGTCAGTCAAGAAACATTAATTAAGTCCTTTCCTATGTGACCAGGCACTGTGTAAGGCGCTTGGGATACAAAGAAAAGCAACAATATGGCCTCTTTCCTTTAAGAAGCTTACATTCTAATGGGGACACATCAAGCCAAAAATTATCTGTTACAAGATATATACTGTGTAAATTAAAGGTAGTCTCAGGGAAGGGACTAGAAGTAGGGAGGACCAGGAAGGGCCTCCTGCAGAAGGTGGGATTTGAGCTGAGTCTTGAAGGGCAGGAAAGCCAGGAGTAGAGGGGGCAAAGCATACCGGGCTTGGGGAAGAGCCATTGCAAAGGTGCAGAATCGGGAGATAATTTTGAGTCAGGAGATAGAATGTTCCGATGGAAGGAGCAGTAAAAAGGCCAATATGCTTCTCGATCACAGAGCACTAGTGGAAGGGAATGTCAGCCACTGGGGAGACAAATACAGCGGACATTCTGTGGGCATAAACCATATGTATACATGTTAAGTAAGCACAAAATAATTTGAGGGAGGGCTCCAGTAACTGGGGTAAGAGATGACTATACCAGCCAGATGTTAATACCTCTGGGACATGAGTGATAGATAAGGTATAAAAAAAAAATGGCAGGATCCAAAAAGATCTTTCAAGTTTGGGATGATTGGCCAAATCTAATACTACGAATTTAATATGAAAGAATGGAAGTTCTAAAATTGGGTTCCAAAAATAACAAGTTCAGGAATTTGGGAGTGGGACAGGGACAGAGACTACACTAGAGCACTTAAGGGAAGGGGATAGGCATGTGTATGTACCTATTATGGGCTAGGGCTGTGCTAAGAACTTTTTTTAAATAAATATTACCTCATTTGATCTTCAGAATAACCCTGGGAAGTAGGTGCTGTTATACCCATTTATAGTTGAAAGAACAGAGGCAAACATTAAGTAAATTGACCAGGGTCACACAGACAGTGTCTGAAGGCAAATTTAAACTAGGACCTTTCTGACTCCAGGCTTAGATTCTGCTGTCCATCCAGCTGCCTCTAGTTAATGTGTAAAGTGAAAAGTGTGGAGGAGGGGGAAGGAGAGAGGTGTTCCTAGATTATAAACTATATGAACCATAATGTGAAAAGGCTAGGAGAATAGTGCCCCTTGAAAGCCTAGCCCAATTCCAGACTCTGAGTTGGAGGAAGAGGCACCTGGGCCAATGATAACCCCCCCCCCCCACACACACACACACAATACCCTGATAAATCCTTTTGTGTCTCTGAATGATGGCTGGGACCAGAACACTGGAGAGGAAGGTGTAATACAGTAAAATCCTAAATCTAAATGGTATAACTTTGTTGAAGATTGCATGCTGGACCTCAGAAATTCTCTAGTCCAACTTCTTGTGTTACTGAAGATTTAACAGAGGCCCAGATAAAGTAAATGGCTTGCCTCTGGCTACTAAATGAAAGAGGTAAGAGAATGAAAAGAACATTCAATCACTGACTATTGTGTACAAAGCAGTGGGCTAAGGCAGGTAGAGTTTAGACCAGAGACAGTCTCCTGTCTTTATGGAAGGAGTAGAAGAGACAGTCAACAAAGATTTATTAAGCTTCTATGTGCTAAATTCTGGGGACACAAAGAAAGGTAAACCCACTGTTCTGACCTCAAAGAGCTCCCACCTCAATGGGTAAGGCAATATGCAAACAGGTAGAATATACATACAAGATAAATGAAGGTGATCTCAGAGGGAAGGCACTAGATGGGGAGAAAAGGGAGAGGGGGACATGAGGAAAGGCCTCTTTCCAAAGGTAGAATTTGAACTAAATCTTGAAGGGAAGCCAGGAGGTGGAGGTGAGGAAGGAGGAGAGCATTCTACACAAGGGAGATAACCAGTGATAAGGTGTAGAGTTGTGAAATATAAAAAGTCTGAGAGACATAGTTTCTGGGTAATTAATCACTTTATTAATCATGCTAGCATATAATTAATAAAAGGGGTCAGTGACACTCTGAAATGCCAAAGACCCCTTCATGGAACCCATTTAATGCTTATATGCCCTTGGAAGAGTGGGTGTTCCTGAGAGTGGCAATCTACTCTGATTGGTTAACAAATAATGAGAGAGAATGAATATTATAATGAGAGGTGGATCTATTCTGATGAGGGTCTCGGGGGGACTGTGACTTTGACCAGCCTTGGGCAATCTAGACAAAAAATCTACCCCCTTGCCAAAATCTGCCTGAGTGGAACAGTTGGGCTGGAATTCACCTTAGATTAAATTCTTTGTAAGGTTTTCTAGTTGGGTGAGGCAACAACTCCACCTAGATAAGATGGTCTAGGTGGAGTAAATTTTTGGGAAAGGTCAGGGATCTCTGAAATAATCAAGAGACTTTGTCCTTTGAGGGACAGCAAAAAGGCTAGTGTGGCTAGATTAGAGCTTATGTGGAAAGGAGGAAAGGGTAAGAAGATGGAAGGGACCTGGTTATAAAGGGCTTTAAAAGCCAAACAAGATCTAATCCTAGAGATAAAAGGGAGCCATTGGAATTTATTTGAAGTGGGTGTTGAAGGGTACAGTGATGACATGATTGGACCCACAGTTCAGGAAAATCACAGTGGTGGCTAAATGGAGGATGTATTGGAGTGTGGAAAGACGATGCAGGCAGACCCACCGCAGCCTATTGCATTAGTCCTGGGGTGAGGTGATGAGGGTCTGCACCAGAGTGGTGCTAAGAGTATTAGGCTTTAAAAATTAAAATGTTACCATTTGTGGTTATCCACATATAATTTAATATATAATATATTTAATATATGATGTAATTTAGTATATTTAATATAACTGATATGATTTTATCATATCAAATCAATATTTCATTTTATCATATCAAATCAATATAAATTGATTTGATTTTAAGTCAAAATCTGTTATAAAGGAAATAAGAACAGGGTCTGAGAGTGCTCTCCCTATCAGGATTATTATGGAAATTACAACCTAACACAAAAAGATTTGTTATTTGGCATTAAGAAATTTACTAGTTGTATGGCCCCGAGAAAGTTCCTCAGTTTATCTGTAAGAGGATAATAATAGAACTCACCTCCCAGATTGTTGTGAGGATTGGGTGATTGTAAAGTGCTTTACATTTACATTTGATTTGAATCTTTAATTAGATGTAATTGCTTCATACTTGGTAACTTTATATGGGTTTTTAGATATGATCATCATAAATGCCAGTGGTGATGTGATGAATTATTTTCTGTTAAGGTAATTTGGAAGTATATCCAACTAAATTAAGGTCACCTGATTGGTAATTAATTGATTTTGTTTCAAGTTTTAAATACATGATATTATTTATGGTTATATTTCTAAGTTTTCTTATACTGTGTAATTTGGTAAACAATTATATTCACCTATGTTGTTATAAAAGCAATTTCTTAAAACCTAGATGTTGTTAGATTAAGAACTGTACTGTCAAAAAAAAAAAAAAGAGAGGGAATGAATGGGTTATAGGTCATTCTATTAGCCCTGCTGACTATGTGTTGTAATATTCTGAAGTACTAAAATTTAAGAAATCACAAACTTCCAAGTTTTGTCTGTATTTGAAAGGAAGTTTCACCTAAAATTATTTGGCTATCTCTTATGAAAATTATGAAATTGTTAACTAAGTTATTTGGAGTTATTGTTTTAATCAAGTATTTACAAAGGTAATTATACAAAGAAAAAACCTTGTAAAATATTCTTATCAACCCTGTGCAAGAGTTTCCTGTGTTGCAGAATTCCTACTGAGTAAATGGGAATATTTGCACAAAATAGGGGTATGATTTTCAAGTCTGCTTCATATATATGTTAATTAGCAGGTTTGTGAACTACCACATTCACTTGTGAACTACCACATTTACTATCTATGTGAGATTACAGAATGTAATTATTTTCTTGATTTCTAGGGATATGTTGAGGAAATTTTTAAAGGCCTGGTAAATTTTGTTATTGTGATAAGGCCCATTTAATTGGGTATGTTTTTCTTGGCTTATAAAAACTGAATCTTCTCCCCATTACAAACACCTTTTTGACTAGAGAATTTGGGTAACTAGCAAATTTTGTGGTAAGTACAAATTTAGTTTATTACTTTGGAGATTTATTTATGTTGCTTAAAAGATATTTTTTACCAACTTAGTCTTGATAAATTCCAATTTTAAAGATTTTTTTTTTGCTTTAAGATTGAGAGAGAGATCTATCATTTTAGAGGTTTCCAACTAATTTACTTTATAGAAGTTCAGTGATTATTCCTCTTAACATCAGAATAAATTTTAAGCTGTTTGTAAAAAAGGAAAATACTTTTACAAAGAAATGTTTTGTAAAAAATCTTTTGTGTGATTTTTAGAAGGCCTACTAAATTTTTATTTGCAAACTAATTTTTTTTTTTTTTTGGGTTAGGCAATGGAGCTAAGTGACTTGCCCAGGGTCACACAGCTAGTAAGTGTTATGTGTCTGAGGCTAGATTTGAACTCAGGTCCTCCTGAATCCAGGGCTGCTGCTCTATCTACTGC